AACAATTTGGTTTTTTATAGTGTTTTAATTAGTAAATAAAAAAATGTGTATTTTTTTCTAAATATTATTTTAACTGTTTATCAAAAACATTTCTGCTTAATGAAAATAAGAAGTAGGGCCTGCGCAATGTATTTAATATAAATCGCCGCATTAGCATGAGTGTGCTAAGGTAGCATAATTAATTGCTATTTAATTGGGAGATTGTTTGAATGGTCTAATGGAAGTAACTAAAAATATATATACTGGTTTGAATTTAACTTGGGGATACAGAGTCCCCCGTGTTTTTTAATAAGACGGCAAGTCCCTAAGAATTTTACACGTGTTGTTTTTTTGGGGAAAAAGCTTTTTTTTAATAAGTTTGTGATCCTAAAGGAAATATATGATAATTACCTTAGGGATAACAGGGTAAGAAATAAAGAGAGTTCAAATTAAATTGTTTATTTGCCACCTCGATGTTGACTTAAGAATACTACTGGGAGTAGAAGCTTAGTCTGTAGGTCTGTTCGACCTTTAAATTCTTTCATGAGTTGAGTTAAAACCGGCGTGAGTCAGGTTGGTTCCTATCATTTCGAAAGGATTGTGAAAGATTTAAATTTAATAAAAATCTTATTCTGGTTTTAAAAATATTTCAAAGCTAAACTTTATAGACTTGTTATTTATAGTATTTGTTTTATTGTGATTATTATGTATTGTCTATAAGTGAGTTTTACTGTAATAATAAAAGTTAGTTATGGTAGCTTTATTTAATAGTGCAGGTTACAACTCAGTGCCAGCATCCGCGGTTATACCGATTTGCATTTCCTTTTTAATGAATTATTTTGGGTTTTTATTAATGGACTAACGTGTAGTTTAATATGTGTTAGGGTCTAGACGAAATAATTGTGTTTTTTATTTTATTATTTAAACAAGAATCAGATACTCTTTCATAAATAGGGTAATTTGTATAGTCTCAGTTTTAACTGAAAGAAATTGGCAGCCGATGATATCCCGTTGGGGGAATGTGTGATTTTATAGATGTTCCACCAATAGATTATGTGAATAAAATCGTATAAATTTCAATCATTTTACCTATATATTCCTCGTCAGATTTATGGAATATGAAAAGATATAGTGAAAACTTTGTTATATAGTTTCTAGGATGATTACTCTGTCTCCAGGCTGACATTATATACGCTAGTTTAATTTAAATATCAGGATCGTGAATGTAAATTTACTTAATTGGATAAAGATTAAAATTGATAATAGTTTAATAACAGTCAGTTTTAAACTTTGTATTTTATTATTACAAATTATTGATGAAAGGTAGCTTATTATAGGCGTGGATTAAATTGAATAACATAAAGTTAATTGCTTATTTTAAAAAAATATATTTGCGCAGTAGATGATAAGCCTATTTTATTAACGATTTCATTGTCCTATTACTAAATATCCTGATTTATTGGGCATAATTATAGGAAAATTGAAAAATTTATTATCGTGTAACAAAAATTAATAACCGCAAATTTATTAAAAATACTAAATAGGTAAATTTGAATAGAGACATCAAGATTAT